CCCAAGACTAGGAATGGTGCAGGGCCCAAACTAGGAGTAGAGAACAGCGGGGGAGATGGAAGGGTGAACACAGCTGGGGGAGTCAAGGCTCGGAGGGCTGCAGGATAGACTTACCCCAAGAGAGGCCTGAGGGCAGGAGAGCAGGTCCAGGAAAGCAGGGAGAGGTGAGGGTGGGCCAGGTCCTGAAGCAGTGCTCCTGGAGCCCAAGGAAGGCACCCAGCTGGCCTGGGCGAAAAGGATCAGGAAGCAGCACCAGTTCCCCAGGTGTCTGGGGACCCAAGACCAGGAATGGCGCAGAGCCCAAACCAGGAGCAGAGAACAGCGGGGGAGGTGGAAGGGCGAATGAGGCCGGGGGAGTCAAGGTGCCGAGGGCTCCGTGATAGACCCACCCCAAGAGGCTTGAGGATAGGAGAGGAGCCCAGGAGCCATGTGCTATAAGTTTTATGTATACGGGAGTCTTCATAAGGACCCGGAGACCCAAAGAAATAGGTACACTGTGTTTTGTGTTTAGGCTTGGAGGCGAGAAGAAGCCATTTGAAAGGAGCATGACTGGAGGACAGAGAGGATTACCCAGTGCTGATAAATGGTCTATGCAGTATCTCCCTATGCAGCTCTGTACCTTCATCTCCCTTCCTTCAGGGATAAGGAGGACACCGATTGAACAGAGGTCTTATGATCCACTTCTGCTCTTTTCTCAAATGCCAGAGTGCCATATTTTGGGGTTACATGTCCTGAACCTCATCATTTTCATGCAAAGACTCAAACACAAATGTTCATGGCAGCTTTATTCATAATAGAAAAAAACCAACTGTCCCTCAAAGCTGAATGTATTAATGAATATGATATATCCATATAGAAAAATACTACCTAGCAATGAGGAGAAATGGGCCATGAATACATTCAACACAATGAATCTGAGAAACATGCTGAGTTAAAAGAAGCTAAACACAGGCTGCGGTGTAGCTCATGACAGAGCATGTGCAAAGGCCTAGGTTCAGTCTCCAGCATTGGAAAAAAAAAAAAAAAAAGCTTGAGAGTGTGGGAATGAGAATTGACCAGAGGCATAGGCATAAGGGATTTTTTTGTGGTGCTGAAGTTCTCTACCTCTCTACCTGACTGTGGTACCAGGTAGCAGTATCATCCTGCCAAATGCATTGAGCAGCATGCTTTAAGGGGTGAGTTTTTATTTAATATAAATTAAACACCAGTGAAGTTGATTTTTTTTTTGTCTTTTTGATACAGGGTTTCCCTGTAGTCCCAGCTGGCTCAGATCTTGCTATGTAGACCAGGCTGGCCTTGAACTCACAGAGATCTGCCTGCCTCTGCCTCTGAGTGCTGGGATTAAAGGTGTGTAAACACTTAAACACCCAGTGTTTAAGTTGACTTTCATAAGTTAAAAATATGACCGATCTGGGGGTATAGCTCAGTAACAAAGCACATGTTTCCTATATGACACATGCAAGGTCCTGGGTTCAATCCCCAGTAGCAGGAACACACACACACTTACAAGCAGATTTGATTATATCAGTACTATGTATCTTTGTTCAGCAGAAGTCACCATGAACAAGTTAACACATGTATGAAAGACATGTCTGTTTGATTTTTAAATTCCTAGAATCAGGTTTGGTGAAATGGCTCATCGGGTAATAAAGGCACGTGCTGCCAAGTCTGAGGACCTGAGTTGGATCCCTAGGACCCACATGGTGGAAAGAGAGAACCAACTTCTGAAAGTTGACTTCTGACTTCTAACATTTGACCACACAGATATGCACATGTGTACACACAAAATAAATAGATCAGCTGGGTGTGGTGGCACACGCCTTTAATCCCAGCACTCAGGAGGCAGAGGCAGGCGGATCTCTGTAGTTCAAGGCCAGCCTGGCCTACATAGTGAGTTCCAGGACACCTGGGGCTACAGGGAGACCCTATCTCAAAAAGACCAAAAAATAAAATAAATAAATAGATCAATATAAAATGTAGGAAGACACTGCCTCAAACAAACAAAATGCCAAAAATTTTTTTTTTAGATTCTAGACTCAAAAAGACAGGAATCTAATTTTTTTTTAAGTGGGCAAAGGGCAGGGCGTGGAGGCACACACCTTTAATCCCAGCACTCAGGAGACAGAGGCAGGCGGCTCCATGAGTTCAAGGCCAGCCTGATCTGTATAGTGAGTTCCAGGCTAGCTGGGGCTACAGGGAGACCCTGTCTCAAAAAACCAAAATAAATATACTCATACACATAAAATAAAAATAAGTAAAATATTCTTTTAAAAAGATGTGTGTTCCCCTTCTTCACCTGACTTTTGCTGTAGGACTTCACAGTGACCTGTGATGAATGAGCATTTTGGATATTTTGTTCTTCCTTCCACCCTGTTTTCTCAAATAGCTTAGAAAGCATCTATTTCTTGTAAATTTGATAAATAGCATTGTCTTTAAGCCAGGTGTGATGGCATATGCCTTGCCTTTAATCCCAGCACTCAGGCAGATCTCTGTGAGTTCAAGGTCAGCCTGGTCTACATAGTGTGTTCCAGGTCAGCTGGGGCTACAGAGAGAACTTGTCTCAAAAAGACAAAAAAAAAGCATTGTTTTTGATGTGTATATCTCTACTAATGAGTCTGAGTGAGTTTGCACAGTTTGTTAAATGTCTGTTTTTCAGCCCTTTGAATTGCTGGTTCCTGTTCTATGTGCCCCCCTCCTCCTTCACCCCTTTCTGTTTTCTGAGACAGGGTCTTGCTGTAGCCCCTGACCTGGAACTCACTCTGTAGACCAGGCTAGCTTGGATCCCACAGAGATCTACCTGCCTCTACCTCCTAGTGCTGATATTAAAGCCGTGTGCCACCACAACTGGCCCTCCGGTAACATTTCTGAGATTTAATTTACCTACTACAAGACTCCTTTACGAAAACGAAAAGTTGCTCTTTGATGATTTGGGGCAGATTTCCTAACTTGCGGGATTGTCGCTGTAGTTCTGGAAAGGACCCGTTCATCACCCCTGTGAGATTCCTCTTCGCCCTTTACAGCTAGTCCCAAGGATCATTAATCTGTGCTCTACATCTGCCTTTTCTGGGAGGTTCGCATGGTCTTCGGGTCTGGCTTCTTGTAGCCAGTCATATTTGAACGGACTTTTCTGATTTGATCTCTCATTTGGTTTTCTCATGGAGCTCCCAGGGCTGGTCAGAACGAACGCCTTGACCCCCAGCCTAGCAGGGAAGCAGTCCTCGGCCCATCCCAGAGCTGCACACGCTGCAGCTAGTCCCACGCTCTGAAATAAAAAAGCGCAGTTCATTTGGCTGACTCAACCCGGGCAGTCCTGTGTGGCTTCTCCTTTCAATGATCAAAAATTCCCCGAACTCATTCAGAAGTGCAAGACAACCTTTGGGGGGGAGGTGCCCTTTGCAGGGATCCCCGCGGCTTCCAAGACTCCCTTAGCCGACTTTCCAAGTGGGAAACAACTCTTGGTGCTTGCATGCTGCTCAAGAGATTTTCTTCGAACAAAGTCCCGAAGAAGGGGTGAAAAAAAGTCCACAGTGACGCTTCCTGAGGCGGGGTAGCCTAGTGTCATGGAGACTCATTTGTTCAGGAGGGTTGGGCACCGTCATAGGCCCTGCAGGCTGCCCACAGGACAGCACTCTCCACTGGGACTACTTCTAATGTTAGGTAAAGGCACTGTGTTACCTGCTGGACACAAACAGCTAGAGGTGGCAGAGAAGTGAGTCGGTCCGCTAGGATGGAGGACCCGGGTGGTCAAAGAAGTCTGGATGCGGGTCGTGGTGGCGCACACCTTTGATCCCAGAAACTCTGTATTGGGGGGGCGGGGTCTGTCTTCAGTCTTATCTGTGATGGACTTTTTTTTCTCCTCCTATTGGCAAATGAAGAAATAAGAAGCTTTAATATAAAATTATCTGCTAACACACCATGAAGCGGAAGATAAGTCCTAAAGGCACTCTTGTTTCCAGCCACCAGTCCTGACAGGTTTGGGGTTCGAGGGCGGGGGTGGGGGGTGAGGGGAGAGTCCCGGGAAGCCGGACGCTGCCTGGGAATCCCCGGCCTCCGGGCGTTGCATTCTGAGCACTAGGAGGCAGCACCGCGCCGAGGACCCGCGGCGGAGCAGCGGCCAGGGCGTGTGCCCCGAGTGGGGAGCAGGGACACGGACGTCCGGCCGAGGAGTGGGGTGAGCGGGGGGCCGGCGGGGCAGCTGCGGGACGCGCTTTCCGCGTCGCGGCATTAACGTGGCACCTCGGACCATCGTGGCGCTTGCCCGCAGCAGCCTCGCGGTACCCCGCGCTTCCAAAGGTTTGGGGAGCCGTGCGGCGCAGCTGGCCCGGGTCGGGGTCCCCAGCCCCGGGGTCCTCCAGGCCTCCTGAGCCCCGCAAGCTCGCGGCGCTGGGGCCGGACTACAGTCTCCAGAGTGCCCCGCGGCGCGGGCGGAGCCGCGAGCGCCCGCAGCCAATTAGGGGGTCTCGGGGCAACGGGGAGCAGGTGGAGCCGGCGGGGGCGCGTCCCTGCGGGTGGGCGGGCGAGCGGTGGGGCCGGACGGAGGGGCGGGGCTGCGTTCCGAGAGCTCCCGGCGCGGCCCAGGGCGCACTTGACCGCGCGCTGCGCTGCGGGAAAGGGCGGCTCCGGGAAACCGCGCGTCCCCCGCCAGAGCCGGCATGGCCTTCGCCAATTTCCGCCGCATCCTGCGTCTGTCCACCTTTGAGAAGAGAAAGTCCCGCGAATATGAGCACGTCCGCCGCGATCTGGACCCCAACGACGTGTGGGAGATCGTGGGCGAGCTGGGCGACGGTGCCTTCGGCAAGGTCTACAAGGTGAGACGTCCGGGGCCAACCGCACTCAGCTTGGCCGGGTCCACCGTGGCAGCGCACGGTGCTTGCGCTCCCGGGAACCTGCACCCACCCACCCCGGCCCGGGCCTGGGGAACTCTCGGGTAGTGCTGTCGCCCTTACCCCAGCTCAGTTTTTGAGCACTTCCTGTGTGTTCCGCACTGTGCTCGGCGCCTCACCCTGTGACAAAAGGACATTTGTAGAACCTCAGCATCCGAGAGGGCCACCCGAGGCACTCCCGAGAGCGTTGTGATAGGGGGCATGCTTTTTAAAGCGAGGCTACACGGATGCTCTGGGAATGTGCAGGAGATGGGGACAGAACCAGCTGTGCCGGGAGCTTTGGGAGTTAGGGACTCGCCCGAAGATGAGCCTTAGTCAGGGAAGGCGCGAAGGCAAAGAGTGGCCCGAGAGTGAGGCTTGGAACGGTAGGCTGGGGCTCAGGCTCGGGCTGGACGGAGGACGAGGACAAGGTCCTGTGTCTGCAGCTGCAGGGCACAGATTTGCCTCTATGCATGAGTCACTGGTGGCTCTCTGTCTGCAGTTACCTTTCCCCTGGAGGAAGACAGCGGAGGCAGTGTGAGGGGTGGGTGGGGCACACGGAATCCTACACTGTGCAGCAGTCAGGTCTGGGAGTTTGCTCCTGTGAGTCAGTTCTGGGTGCCTGGCTTGTTGTTTAGGGTACCTAACTCCTACTATTTTGCTCCACCCGGTCTTCTTTTCTCTAAGAAAAACCTTATTTATTAATTATTTTAAATGATAATGGGATCTTGCTATGTTGCCAAGGCTGGTCTCCCAATTTGTCATGTTGCCCGTGTCTCAATCTCTGGAGAAGCCTGGACCACAGGCCAACCTGGTATCCTGTAGGGACGATTTCTTGGGAGAATACCCCTCTGTGGTCACCCCCACCCCCATCCTCCAGAGGATGCTGCTTTCCTAAGCCAGATGCCAATCTCCTTGGGGGTTATATAGGTGGTGGCCAGGCTGATCCCAGGATTGCCCTTTCAGGAGGCTGAACCCGCAAAGAGGGCTCCTCTAGTCCCTCTGCCTCCAAGTCAACTGGATTTGGAGTTGTTTTGCTAGAACCCCACCCCCCAATGTGTGATCCCCTGAAGCTGGGCATTAGCATCTTCTGGGAGCTTGTTAGAAAGGAAGCCTCAGGCCTCACTCAGCCCAGCTGAACTAGAATGCATTTTAAACCAGGGAATCCGAGCAGTGGCAGTTTGGCGGCTAGTCAGGTCCATGGGGACCTCCTCTCTGTGCTGCACTTCCTGTTGCAGGGCTGGAGAACCCCCACTAAAGGTCCTGTTAGAGAGACAAGTATAGGTCACCAGGCATTCCAACTGAATCAATTTACTGTCCTTTGCCTAAGAGCTTGGCCCATATTGAGGGACCCCAGGCTAGCCCCCCCCCCCCCGAGTGAATACCCTTGCCCTCTGCTGCATTTTCCTTGTAGCACTAGGAAATAGTTCCCAGCCTCTCAGCCTTCTCTGATGACCTGGCAGTGCCCTTGCTTGTAGGATACAGCCTGCTCCTACAGAGGTTCTCTGACCACAGCTGGCCTAAGTCAGTTGCCCGCCTCACCCACCATCTCCAAACACTCCATGGTGTTGTCAGTGCTTGCTTTCGACTCTCCATGATAGTTTTAAGGACTTTCAGTTGTCTTCTTGTCCCCTTCACCCCCTGTCCTCATTTCATTTAAACTGAAATGCAGAACTTGCTGGCAGGTAAGATTCTTCCTAGTCATTTCCGCCTGCTGTAGCCCTCCAGAACTCTGCTGCTCTAGGGCAGTTTCCTAGTAAGGGAGCACTCTGATTCATAAGTCATTTTGTTACTTCCTTGTTCTTCAAACACGTGGACCCTTTTGAAGAGTGACCACAGTTAGTTCCCAAAGCTGGACGCTGGCTCCACTGTAGCCCTCTCTCCCAACCTCTGAACTCAGGATTTTCACCTGGACAGTTTTAATTATAGTTGAGAGCCACAGAGCATGTTGGGGCAGTGAGGGACTGTGTAGCCAAAGATGGTCCCATGAGACTATAAAGGAGCTGAAAGGCTCCCGTTGCCCAGTGCTGTACATCTTGTGCAAAGTATACCTCACATGCTTGTGATGCTAGTGTACCTTTATACACTGCCAGGCATGTAGAGGCGTGGCATATATTGTCACAGTAATAAATGTCACTGTTATGTATCTACTATGAGGTATTTTTTGTGCTGTTTTAGAGTGTATTTTTTAAAAGTTCACTGTCTCTTGATTACATAATTTCCTCTTATGCTTAAATTTTTTTTGTGTGTGTGTGCATGTTCATGCATGTGCCCACATATATGTGCAGGTGCCCATGCATATGTGTACACACTCGTGTGGAGGCCACAAGTTGACATCAGGTTTCTTCCTCAATTGCTATCCACCTTATTTTTTGAGACAGGGTCTCACTGAGCCTGGAGTTCATCCGATTCAGTTAGACTGACTGGCCAGCAAACCCCAGGGATCCTCCTGTCACTGCCTCCTCAGCCTTGGGATCCCCTGCACATGTGGCCACTCCTGGGTTTTACGTGGGTGCTGGGGATCTGACTCAGGTCCTTAAGCTTGTGCAGCAAATACTTTACCAACTAAATCATCTCCCTACACCTTAATTTTGTGTTGTCTTGGTCAGCCTGGCCCTAGAAGCATTAGGCTGTTCCATGTATATGTGACACACACATGTGCCGCTTAAGTGGAGAAAGCCATACCCTCTAGATTTGTGTAAGATCACTCTGTAATGCTCCTGCAATGATGAAATCACCTAATGGTGCATTTGTCAGAATGTGTCCCTGTTGTTGAGTGAAACACAGCTGTTTTGCCTCCTTGACCTTAGCATATGGCATTCCTTTCTAATCAAAGTTTATGTGTATGGAGATACTAGATCCCAGAGAGTGGAAGGGACTAGAACCCACAGCTCTGGACTTGAACACTTTCCTTAGTCTCCCACTCAGGAAGATATGCCCTGAGTCACAGTTCCCTGACACCAGGCCCCCTGCCCTGCAGAGGTATTGCTTCCTCAGCCCTTAATGGAGGATGTCATTGGGTGTTATTTTTACTAAGGACTGCTCTAATTGAGAGCCCTGACCTCTGCCCACTTCCTGGTTGCCTGCCCTGGTCATTGAGGCAGTATAAGCCAGAAATTCCACCTTGGTTATGTGACTGGGACCAGAGTTTGCCCTTTGGCCTGGCACCAGGAGTGCAGTTGACCATGAGTAGAAAAAGATGTCCATTTCCACCCCAATCCTTTTGAGACGGGGGGGGGTCTCCCTGTAGCCCCAACTAGCCTGGAACTCACTATGTAGACCAGGCTGGCCTTGAACTCACAGAGATCCACCTGTCTCTGCCTCCCAAGTGCTTGGACTAAAGGCATGTGCTGCCATCCCAGGCTCTACCCCAGTCCTTGAATGAGCAGGGATTCTCCTCAGCCATCATGCTAGGGGGCCTTCTTGGGACTTTCAGAGCTTGTGAAGCCTTGGAAAGTTCAGTTCCTCGGTGTGTGGGATGAGGACTTCTATCCAAGGTGATGTGAGATTAGAGCATCAGCAGTCTCCAAGACATGGAGCTCCCCTTTCGTCATCTTCCTGATGAGCCTTTGTCCATTTGCCTCAAGAGAAAAAGAGGCTGAGTGTGGTGGAGCATGCCTCTATTTATTTATTTATTTATTTAATTTATTTGTTTGTTTGTTTGTTTATTTATTTATTTATTTATTTTTGGTCTTTTTTGAGACAGGGTCTCCTTGTAGACCCAGCTGTTCTGGAACTCACTATGTAGACCAGGCTGGGCTTGAACTCATAGAGAGTTCAAGCCCATGCACTTGCCTCAAACTCACAAAGATCCGCCTGCCTCTGCCTCCCAAGCGCTGGGATTAAAGGTGTGCTCCACCACGCCCAGCAAGAGGCTGAGCCTTTTAATTCCAGCACTTGGGAGGCAGAGGCAAGTGCATGGGCTTGAACTCACAGCCTGGTCTATGTAATGAGTTCATTCCCAGTCAGGTTAACACAGTGAGACTTGGTCTCAGACAGAGAGGTGGGGGAGGAAAGAAATGAAATGATGATTGATTTAATCCAATAACAAGGTCATTCTCACCCAATCCCTGAGTGATGGCAAATTGGCTTAAAAAAAAAAAAAAAAAAAAAAAAAAAAAAAAAAAGAAAAAAAAAAAAAGAAAGCTGGGTGTGGTAATGCACACCCTTTAATGTCAGCAGCACTCCTCCAGGCAGCAGAGGCAGGCAGATCCCTGTGAGATCAAGGCCAGCCTGGTCTACTTAGCAAGTTCCAGGCCAACTGGGACTACAGGGAGATCCTGCCTCAAAAAGAAAGAAAGAAAGAAAGAAAAAAGACTGAAAAACAACCCCACAAAATTAGTTCTAGTCCATTACTAGAATACAAAGTAAGGCTCACAGGTGATGTATTTTCAAACTCTTATCTTGAAAAATCATCTCTCTGAAGGTGGGGTAGGAAGGAAAGGAAGTGTTTAGTTTGTACTGAGGAGTGCTGCCCTCAGCAGAGCATGCCCAGAAACAGTTTCTAATCAGGTGCCTCTAAGTGCAGGGCAGCCAGAGGGTATAGAATTGAAAGGGCTGGGCTAGTGGCCGAGTTGATTTTTCTGCTTCCTGCAGATTGCTTTGACTTTAAGCTTTTAAAAGGTTATTTTGGAAAATTGAGAGGGTGCAAAAAAAAAAAAAAGTAGCAAGAACTAAAAAGAAAGCAAAATCACCATAAGCTCCATCAATGGCTGCTTTAATTTTCATCAGTGCTTTGCACACACTGGGCTAACATTCTTCTACCAATCTATATCCCCAGCAAGGATATTTTGTTTTTGTTATTTTTTAAAAAAAAAACAACACAGGGTTTTTCTTTGTTTCCCAGGCTGGCCTCAATCAACCTTCCTTCCTTAACCTCCTAAGTATCTAGCAGTGCAGGCATCGACCACCATGCCTGACTGGTGTCTTTCTCTCTCTCTCTCTCT